AACTGGCCAGGACGCGAAATATCGACTATTTTTAAACGTTTTCATTTGGCCACTATCGTGTTCAAAAATGATCAGAGCATCTTTAACGACGGAAGCTTTTATTCTCTTTACTTTTAAAAAGGTTGAAAATGTACAACAAAGTCAGACAACTCTCAAAACCTAAACTTCGGCGAACAAACGCAGAAACAGTCGCCTTGCTTCACGTCAACATCTTCGAGCTTTGGATTGACAAAACTATATAATTTGGGTACCAAACGATAGCGCGAACTTTTGGCTTTATAATGAGTCACAATTTATATAATTATAATGCATATAGGTGTTACATTTATTTATTTGCGTCAGCCCTTACACTGGCACACTTTTTTGAAAAATGTAAATGTTCTTTTAGAGCTACAAAAAATTGTACGCTAGTGTACGGTCTCAGACTACCGCCACACTGTAGGTCAAGGAGTTGTCTACATGTCCTCAAAATTTCAGCTGCGCCTGATTGCGCCGGTGTTGGGGGTGAACACTTTTTTGAATGAGTCATTTCTGTTCCTGCTGAGCCATGGGACGGGCTCTAGCGTGCGTTAAGGGAAAATGCCAGTACTCCTCGTTCATTCTCTCGTCTATTGTGACGAGCTGGTGGCCAATGGAAGGTCGCCGACCTGTGTGCGACCTGGCGTACCCTGGGGCGTAATTAGCTGACGGCACGACCCCCCCCCCCACGACACGTGCCAGTTGCATTTTCATGTGTCGCGAGAAGAAAATAAAGGGTCTCCGGAACCGGAGACCGGACAATGTCGGTGAATGACAGTTGTTCATTCAAAAACTGCTAGCATTCCTATGAAATATACATTTCCTAAATATCAACAGCATTATCGGTGTAAATAGTACCTATAGGTCTATAACAGGAACTTTCCACTCCATGGCTATTGCAGGAAATTCATAGATGGGCTCTGGAGCTGTATGGTCGCTACACATCCTTGCTTGATAGTTTATAAACATATCTTAGTATCTGATGGAGCGCAATAGAATATTCATTGTGCCCAGTTTGCGATGGGACTGTGAACTGAAAAGTGACTGTATGAGACCGGCCACAGCACGCATCGCTGATCACGATGATCGGCAGGGTTACTATCGGCCTCTTCAGTCAGTATTAATACGTTCGACGTAGGTGGTATGGTATCATTAGTGCTGTCCACCTTTATGAAAAAGTATCCCTTTGCTTCAGTAAGCGTCAGTTAGTATGGCAATGAAGTGCTTTTACGTGCACGTTGCATGTTACATAACGCACCATACAATAGGAATTGGTAAGAAGTTTTGGGATACATTCTACCATTTCACGTCATGCAATGGCGGATCCAGTGAGGGGCATGGTGGGTATTTGCCCTCCCCATAGCTGAGTCGTGTGGGCAAGACTATCCTTTTCCGCTCCCAAAGCTTTTGGTGATGATAAACATAATACGGCGTCGATGCCTATCTGGACGAAAAGCAGGTCTTTCCGTCACAACCATTCTGAGGGATGGAGCTGACCGCTCGCTGCTCATTCTTTAGGTCGGTATGCTGATAACAGATGGAAATCCCTGAACTACACGCATGCAGATTGCAGACGTAGTGAAGCGTTGTAAAGTCACCGGCGCGGCGGTGGGTCGGGGTCGCCGAATGGGTCGGAAACATTTGCCCTCTCCAAACGGATAAGCTGGATCCGCCCCTGACGTCATGTGACGTAAAACATACAAGACTCTGGACTTACTAAAGTGGAGACCGGGTTAAAGGGACCCTCCCACCTTAACATTAGATTTGAGTTGAGATAGCCAAAATGGGGTCCCTGGCTCACAATTACCGGTTTCGGCACTCACAACATCGAGAAATGCCTTAAATCGGAAATATTGAATTTCAAAATTGCAGCATTTTGATTCAGAGGGGCTAATGCTTAGGAATACCCCTCTGAATGTGTGACGTCAGCGCAAATATCTAACGATTTTGAAATGTTTGACTAAAACGTTTTGTAGCACGCGGTGGTATATGCTATTTGCGCGCAACATCTGCCGCAAACGCCGCACTTCTAAAATAAAGTCGCTAGAAACAGCGGAGATCCCAAAAAAAGTAAACAAAAGTAAAAGTCTAATATCTTGAATACCGGTGAATATTTTTTCGGTGAAATTTGGTAGATATTCGTTTTCGCTCTTTCTGAACCGAGCGACATCACTTTCATGCCAATTCATAAACTTTTTTGAAGGTGGGAGGGTCCCTTTAACATCAAGTTGATATCAAAACATGCGTTTAAAATGTTTTTGAAATAAATATAAAGATTGTAGGTCCTATATGAATAAGTCTTATAACTATAAGAACATTCAAGGTCACATGAGGTTATCAACGCTAATTAACACGGTCATGTCCGCAAACTTGACTTGCCTCGTCGATGAGCCTTGCTAAGACTTGCGATTATTCTAAATTTATAGATACCTAAATGTTCGTGCATTCATAGCTAGAACATGACAATATTTTTATATGTTTCGTGACACGTGTGACGTCATAAACAAGTACATAAGCATCTGGTCCGACACATTTTGCACTTTAAATGATCGTTAGTCTCCAACGTTTCGTTTGAGCCCAAAAACACGTCTGTATCTCATTTAGTTTTTTAGTTATGAGCCCTGGCCAGTTATGGACCAGAGTTAAAGCATAGTGCCCCGATCAGTTGCCACGTGCCCTAGTGTCGCCAGTGACAGGACCCGACCGACATCGTCCCCCGGCAGGAGCAAATCCAGCTGTAGCCGACAACCGCGAGTATCGAAACCCGATTAGCGAACGCGAATTCGAAACCGAACCAAACCTAGTAACAGTGTTCTATGTATACCTATACCAGTACAATACAAGCATACATGTGAAAACTCTTTTTATTGTGCCACAGACATCGTTTTGTTTTTTTAAGTGGCGCACGTATGGTCGGCTTGGGTGGGGGGTGGGGCGTTGGCGGCCGATATCGTTGGCGAAGAGACTCTCCACCGTGTCCCGCCCACTCTTGGATGTCAGCGGAGGTCACCGCCGCGGCTGCAGGACGTCGACTGACGCGGACGGACCGGAACCGGGGCTGCCTGGCGATCTGGGCGCTGCAGGCGCGCTGGTCCTTAGCAGGAGCTGGCAGAGGCTTATGTGCGGCTTGCTAGTGTGCGGCTCGGGTGGCGGCCATCGCCATCAACTGGTCAATCTGGCGAAAATGTTCGGCCACCGACGCCAGGACATCCTCTGGGAGGCTGGGGATAGCCTCCACGATCTCCCCCTTCCTGACCAGCAGCGCTGGGTCTGTAGCTGTCAGAGGGCGGCTGACGGAGGGCATGAGGAGCGGCAGCGGGTCCGGCTCCACCTCCACCGTGACTGAACCTGAAGGCTGAGACGTTAGTGGCAGAGCATCAGGGTCCAGCATGCATACCAGGTGCATAGTTATGTTAAAGGGACCCTCCCACCTTAATATTAGTTTTGAGTTGAGATAGCCAATCTGGTGGCCATGGCCTGCAAATACCGGTTTGGGCACTCACAACATCGAGAAATGCTTTAATTCGAAGATATGGAATTTCAAACTTGCAGTTTTCGGATTCTAAGGGGCTAATGCATTGGTATGCCCCCTTAGAATTTGTGACGTCAGCGGAGATCTAACGATTTTTAAATCTTAGACTAAAAACCATCGTTAACACGTGGTGGTATACGCTGCTTTGCGCGCAACGTCTGCCGCACTTTAAGGCTGCCAAATTATTGCTTCCAAATAAAGTCGCTAGTAACAGGGAGATCCCAAAAAGTAAACAAAAGTAAAAGCCTAATATCTTGAAAACCAGTGAATATTTTTCGGTGAAATTTGGTAGATATTCGTTTTCGCTCTTTCTGAACCAAGGGACATCACTTCCATGCCAATTCATTAACTTTTTTGAAGGTGGGAGGCCGGAGGGTCCCTTTAACATATGGCTTGCTGGCCCATCCAGTCAGCAGTCGCACTGCATCTGGTGGACGCAGATACGACACTCGTTGCACCGCTGCTGGCATCTCCCCGGCAGCGGGCAGGTCCTATGCAGCTGCTCCACTGTGTGCGCTTCTGCATCCGCACCCGGAGCAGACACCACCTGCCAGGTAGGCAGCACCGCATCCCCATCTCTGGTTGCTGTAGCGCCCGTCTCCCTGACGTGCTTGACAGCGGCGTAGTGGCGGCGCTGGTTGTTTTTCGCGTGGGCGCTCGGCTCCTTCCACAGGCGTCTGCGGCCTGCACGCACCATCTGGTCGTCCGCGAACGACAGAGCATCGATGCACCTGAAATATTTTATAGTTTTAATCCAATACATAAATAATTTATTAGCTGTATTCTCTCAAGTCTGTGTATCTACTATAAGCAGTTGCTGTATACCGATGACCGCATTAATACCGATGAGTAAAATACCATTAATTATTACTAAAACTAATGACAAGATTCCTTGCAGCCAATTAAACTGAACAGTCTTAGAATCCATGAGCAAAAAGTCGCAAGGAATACATGCAGTGTTTTCAATCAAATAAAAGAAGTACAGCATATAATGATAAATTGAAAATTTTGGTGCGAACAATTTTCAGGAAAATGGGTTTATTAACGAAGTGTATTTTGATCTGGATCTAATGCTTGCTTGTCGACTCTTGCACACTCGACCGTCGAGGTTCAGGTACTTGGGCACCCTGTGGAAGGCCTTGACGTGCATGTTTGTGCTGATTCCGTCCGCAGTGCGGCTGCCGAGGGCCCACTTCTCGACACTAGCCAGGTCGACCCCCGCCGAAGTCAGTTGGTAGCACGGTCATAGAATACTAAGGTAACACGGAGCCGAAGCTTCAAGCCAGGGGACGCGGGAGGCGTCATTTTTTTCCCAGCCGGAGCAATACACAGGGCGGCTCTGATTGGCTACCCGCTCCGGCCCGTGACGTCAGGACCCACAATGCATCAGGGGTAGCTTAGCAACAGCGTTCGCAATACTTCGCATCCTACGGAGTTGCATCCAAGTTGCATCCGATTTTGCGCCATGGTGCGTTTTGTTTTGTTTTCGCCTTGGCCATGGTTCGGGCAAGGTACCAATTATATCAATATAAAACACGTTCGGGTTCATTTCGTTTCGGTTCATTTTCGGGTGAGTTTGAAGCGCTTGATATCTAGGTGCAAAGAGGTGCTTACGCCGGGATTGCCGACTTTCTATCTTCGTTGATGCCCATTTCAATTTCATTTCAAAATTCAAGCGGTCTTCCATACATGGGGCACAGGTCAAGGTGAGTGGATATGAAAAGTATTAAGTTGTGTCCACTATTCATCATGACTGGATTTATATTATTTTCCATGGAATCTCAATCTGAGAAGCGTAGTGTTCCAGACACGGCGCTCAGTTGATAGGTACTTCTCTCCCTTGCATGGAAAATACTTACTTACCTACTTACGATGTACGAGAATTTAGAAGGCCACTTGGCCTTTAGGACTCTTACTTTATCGAGCTCCTAATCTGTGACTCTGCTTCAGTCTGAGTCGTTTCTGTGGATTGTGTAGTGAAGGTGAGTCCAGTCAGCGTCAAGCTTTTTTGAAGGCATTTACTGTGCAAGATGTGATGATTGATGCCGGTTGGATGTTCCAGTCGTTTACAACCCTGACCCCGAAGGTTGAACGTTTACTTCACAGTTGAAGTTCACTTTACAGTTGAACTTCCTCATTTTTCAGGATACATGTCTGAAAATGGCTGATATTAAGCTTTGCCCATGCAGCAAGGACAGCTCGACTATTTTCTGCAATCTTACGGTAAGTAAAAGTTAGGTACATAAATTGACCTCCTTTTGTCTGTTTTATCCATTCACTTTCCTTGAGATTAGGGCAGAGATGGATCCAGCTCAGAGTTTTTTTTTGGGGGGGGGCAAACCATAACAATTTATCGATTCTTTCCATGCCTCGTCCATAGGTGCAATGTTAAATTATGCCGTTTGGGGGGGGGGCAAATGCCCATTTTGCCCCCCCCCCCACCTGGATCCGCCACTGGATTAGGGGAGAAGACCCATATTGCGCCCGCTTAAGTGAAAACTTCCTGTGCTTAACCCTATTACTGGTGGGCTTTCTGGAGGACGTCAAATGGTGGAGGAGGCCGATTCAGCCCCCCGTCAGATCTCGGGAACTAAATGAGTGATATTGATGGGACAAACACCATTCAATTCCTCTCAACGTAAACTTTTAGATTCATGCAAATGAGTTGGAAAAAGTTGGAAAAAGTTGGAAGTTGGAAGAGTTGGAAAAAAAGAAAATAGGGTCTCAGAGGGCAAGCAATTCTAAAAATTTTGCATTTTTACCCAACCCTTATAATTGCAATGACTTTGATGTTTTTCATTCGATTTAGATGCAAACTTTAGGATATGTTTCTGTATACATGGCCATGGGTCCTTCATATATGTTGTGGGTTTTGTGAAATTTGAAAAGTGATAGGCGGTTTCAGGTACCTAGGTAAAATCAAGGTAAAAATGGGGTAAATATTTTTGAAGTATTTTGTTGAAAAAGAAACGTTTTATGAGCATAACTAAACGTCTGTAAGGTATTCACATGATTGGAATACCATGTAGTTGCCCATTTATGCTTAGCATAGGCGGATTCAGGTACACTGGAACGGGGAATGACACCTCCCAATGTTCCTTCCCTGGGCCTGCCTATGCAGATATCTGCCTATGCGGCATAGACATGCTTGTGCCATGTAGCCTACTGTCATGCAAGTGCAACAGGGCCATTGATCATCGATGCGAACCTGAGAACTCTCATCGGCAAATGTAAGAAAATTCGATGTTGGGCGAAAAATACCCTCGATAAACTAGCCTTGAACACGTCCCTCTGCACAAGCTAGGACCTCAAAATTTTGGTACAATGTCACCAATAATCCTGTCCACAGGATATGCTTATTATAGTGTTAAAAACAGTCTGAAAGTTTCAAGCGGCTAGCTCAATTCGTTTTGGAGATATCCTATCCACGTAAACCCAGGCCCCATTGCTGGTCATTGGGGCCCTCCCGAAAATTAGCCGTGGAGCCGCTGATGTTCAAGATAGAACCACTATTTGGACAGGATATATATATGCTATCAGTATGAAATACGTTTAAGTAATGCTCAGACAATTGCATGTACCTAGCTCAATTCGTTTTGTAGCACGAAAGACTTGAACACCGCTGGCCCACTCCCGTTCAACAAATCGACGCTATTTTCGGCTTTTCTTCGGCTTTTTACTCCCTCGTTCCTACCACATACCTCATCCTATCGTAATCCTATGCTTGTCAGGAGCTGCTTCCTACGAACTACGACTACCGCGAACTACCGCGACTACGAACTACGACTACGACTACGACTACGACTTCCGAAGGAGAGGGATGTATCGACGGCGACCAGGGACCGTCTTCTGGAGCTGTTCCGGATGGGCTACTCGGCTGAGCAGGCGCGAGACGAGCTCATCTCAGCTCCGCAAGAGGAGGCCGGACTCGGAGACGATTTCTACCGCGTCGCAGCGGACCGCGCCCACTGTCCTGATGTTGGCTACTGTCACCGGTAAGGATGGCGGATTTATGTTGTATATTTTTATTAACCCTCGCTCGGCGAGGGGGGGGGGGCAACCAGCCAAGATGCAACTAAGGTTTTTCGCAAAAAACGTACTTGGCATACCCTCTGGGGCAATCTTTCCGCACCTATCCTGAAAATTTCAAGTTCCAGTCTTTTCCGGTCAGGTCACCAGGTCACAAAAACCGGTACAAGGTCAGGGGAAAATTGGACTAGTTTAGCGGCAACTGAATGAGTGTTATTCGTTGATAGCGTGGGCGCTATGGCACGTAGCGCTACCCAATTTCAGACACAACTTGGGGAATCTATTTGACACTTGACCTGGGAATTTTAGGTTCCAGTGACCTGAGGTCAGGTTACAAGGTCACAAAAACCGGTACATAGTCAAAGCCACTAAAAATGCACTATTTTGTTCATGGAAAGTAGAGTTCTTCGTCGATTTGATTCAAACCTGGGGCGTTCCACGACAAATCGACAAGTGCCCTGCACCCTCATATTTTATTTTTTGCTTAAAATTGGTCTAATGGGTTGTGATGGGCGGGGAAGCCAGCTGTGGCAAGGATTTTTTCTTCGAACAACGGTTTCCGAGATATAGCCTCGGGCAATTCCCGGAGTTCGCGCTGCAGCCCTATGTTTGGCGGCCTATAACTCAGAAACTATTGGTTTTTTACGATAAAAACTTTATATGGTTCAACTCACAATCAACCAACAAACATTTTTGCTATCTCGGATTTTCAATTTTTGAAAAATTTTGATCACGTGACCTTTTGTCCTATTTTTCGAAGAGTGACCTTGATATTTTCCCCACTGAAAGTTGCAATTCTGTCTGATGACGATTAAAGCCTTATCGATTGTCATTCATATGCGATAATAAAAAAGTGGTTATCGCCCTGCGTTGACCTCAGGTCAGGGCACTTTTATGACCTGTCCATTATTACGAGCGGGAGCGACAGCGAGATCTCGAGAATAAAGCAGATAGCGACAAGCGGTAAACGGTAAAGGGTACACACGGATAAGGTCTATAATTTTTACCTAAGTCATTTTCAGGTCAGGTCAAAGATGACGTCACAGGAGCTAAAAGGAAGTCAAAACAGCGGCACTATACATATATATGAAGTTTTTCTCGAATAACTTTCAAGGTATCCCAGCTAGGAACAAACTAGTAGCACCATCGTGATCCTCTCGTCGATCCGCATCGAAACATATGTATGTTGACCTCGAAAGGTCGAAAGGTCAAAAGTTGACCTTAGGTCACGTGATCTAAGGTCAACTTTTGACCTTTCGACCTTTCGAGGTCAACATACATATTTTTCTATGCGGATCGACGAGAGGATCACGATGGTGCTATTAGTTTGTTCCTAGCTGGGATACCTTTAAAGTTATTCGAGAAAAACTTCATATATATGTATAGTGCCGCTATTTTGACTTCCTTTTAGCTCCTGTGACGTCATCTTTGACCTGACCTGAAAATGACCTCAGTAAAAATTATAGACCTTATCCGTGTGTACCCTTAACTGTTTACCGCTTGTCGCTATCTTGCTTTATTCTCGAGATCTCGCTGTCGCTCCCGCTCGTAATAATGGACAGGTCATAAAAATGACCTGACCTGAGGTCAACGCAGGGCGATAACCACTTTTTTATTATCGCATATGAATGACAATCGATAAGGCTTTAATCGTCATCAGACAGAATTGCAACTTTCAGTGGGGAAAATATCAAGGTCACTCTTCGAAAAATAGGACAAAAGGTCACGTGATCAAAATTTTTCAAAAATTGAAAATCCGAGATAGCAAAAATGTTTGTTGGTTGATTGTGAGTTGAACCATATAAAGTTTTTATCGTAAAAAACCAATAGTTTCTGAGTTATAGGCCGCCAAACATAGGGCTGCAGCGCGAACTCCGGGAATCGCCCGAGGCTTTATCTCGGAAACCGTTGTTCGAAGAAAAAAATCCTTGCCACAGCTGGCTTCCCCGCCCATCACAACCCCTTACACCAGTTTTCAACGAAGAATAAAATATGAGGGTGCAAATTTAACTTTTTATTTGTCGATTTGTCGTGGAACGCCCCACCTGCAGGATATGCTTAGGTCACCGAGTGCCATCATATGCACCCGTTTTTTTAAATTCGGTTGACCTAATCTAGAGGTCATGACAATTTTTAAGGAAATTTGCCCGAATGTGTAAAGATACGAGATTTGTGATTTCTTTTAACGTTTTTGTGTTGCACTACCTTGACTTACATCTACTTGGTGTTTGCAAGCTGCAAGAACGCTTGGGTCGGGTCAACTGAGGTCAACTAAGGTCAAACTACGCTTTTGCTAATAACTTGGCACACGATGACGCTAGAGCTTTAAAAACGGTGTCGTGTTTCTTGTGATCAGGTGGTTTGAATGGTGTGCGATATGATGCATTTTGATTAAGTTAAACGTAATTAATTACTTAAAGTTCACTTAATTTTTAAGAAAATTTAAAGTTCAATTAAATTGGGAAAAAAGTACATCATTCGATGCGCACGGACGTCCTGAGTTCACTGGTGCTTTTATTTTTGCTCTATCGTCACTAGGTAAAAAGTTATAAGCGAAAAACGTTTGACATGTTTTAGCGAAATTATTGCACTTATACCCCCCAAAAACCCACATGATGACGTCATATGACCCAAAAGCAACGTCACAGTTGCCCAAGAGCAAAAAAGGTCTCAAGGTAGTCAAAGTTAATCGTATATGAAGTCACTCATGGTCAGGGCTGCGGAGTCGGAGTCGGAGTCGGAGTCGGAGTCGGTCGGAGTCGACAGTTGTGACCGGAGTCGGAGTCGGAGTCGGAGTCGATATTGGAAACCCCAGCCGGAGTCGGAGTCGGAGTCACCGAAAATCTGTCGACTCCGCAGCCCTGCCAGGTGTGCGGAGTCGGAGTTGGGAGTTGGAGTCGATCGGAGTCGACATTTCTGCCCGGAGTCGGAGTCGGAGTCGGAGTTGGTTTTTGAAAGCCGGAGTCGGAGTCGGAGTCGGAGTCGCCGTAAATCCATCGACTCCGCAGCCCTGCTCATGGTATATTAGGCAATGCCGACGCGTTTTAGTGTAAAAATAAGGGAGCTGATTTTCCCGCCAATTGACTTATAATGTGGTGGTTAAGAAATTGGCCTGACCTTAAGTCGTCGATATCGACCTTCAAAGCAAACTGACGCTAGGCCAAAGCAAACACAATAGTGGCTATTCCACGTCTCTTTCTTTATTAGAACAAAAGGTACAGCCAAAAAAGGAAAATTATTGTCGTGTGTTCAACGGGTGGATGACCTTTCAGCGGGTCACTGATGCAAAGCTGCACCAGTGCCATGAATAATAGCCTAACTCAGCATGATTCAAAAGTATTTGAACCGGTCAGATGCGTTTCGGTGGTAGCCAATATTTCTGCCATTGACTTATTAAGGGAATGTCAGAAAAAAGACCTGACCTGAGGTCAACTCAGGCTGAAAGGCACCTTTTTATTATCGCATATGAATGAAAATTGATAAGGCTTTAATCGTCATCAGACGAAATTGCAACTTTCAGTGGGAAAAATGTCAAGGTCACTCTTCGAAGAAAAGGTCAAGAGGTCACGTGATTAACATTTTCAAAAGTTAAAATTCCGAAATAGCCAAAATGTTTGTTGGTTAATTGCGAGTTGAACTATATAAAGTTTTTATCATAGAAAACCAAAGTTTCTGAGTTATAAGCCGCTAAACATAGGGTCGCAGCGTGACCTCCAGGAATCGCCCGAGGCTATATCCCGGAAGCAGTTGTTCGAAGAAAAAAATGATTGCCACAGCTGGCTTCCCCGCCCATCACAACCCCTTAGACCAATTTTAACCCGCGCCGTGCTGGGGAGGGGGCGTTTTTACGTGTTCCGTCGCCATAGACTTTCTTGAATTCTGTCCGGTACATACCTTTCAACCTTTTTTGGCTATAACTTTTGAAAGAGACGTACTAGAGCGGTGAAAACACGTCAGTTGTGTTCAGCTCGACGATACGAATCGACTGATATGCAGCATGACCCCTTTTCCGGTCAGGTCATGACCTTGACCTGAGGTCAAATTTTCAAAATGACCTTTTAAGGTCAACAAATTGTTCATTCGACGCGTCTCGACGAGAGGAACACGATGCTGGCAGAGCAATTGTCGTGGCTCTTTTGAGCCAAAAGTTCGTGCCGAAAAGCTCTTCGTAAAAACGGTTATTTTTTAGTTTTTGCCCTCTGGAGGCTAAACCGTTGACCTGAGGTCAAATCTGAGGATATGTTAGCGAAAGAGCGTTAAAAGAGCTATCGAATGCGCTTTTCCGCGGCGCTGTAGCTCTATCGGTTCTCGAGTTAGCTGTTGACAGTTTCCAAAATGTTGAAATAGCCAACATTTTATCTTTGGTGACCTATGGTGACCTGACCTTAAAAATGACTGAAGTGGTTTCTTCCTTATTTTTGACGCTCTTTCGATTGCCGCTAACCGCGTGTCGCTACGTGACCCAGGAGCCGAGTTAGACGGGGGGGGGGGCTTGAAAACGGCCCCCCAGCACTCGGCGGAAAGTTCAGGCCACCAGCACGGCGCGGGTTAAGCAAAAAATAAAATATGAGGGTGTACGGCTTTCGTCGATCTACCGTGGAATGCCCCTTTTCTTAAATGTGTTCGGAACACTGGTTAAATTTTGTTCCGTCACTTCCGCCTCCGTCGCCTAAACTGTTCGTAGCTCATAAGTAGCTACCCGACCATTCCCAATCAACAAGTAACACATACCATCAGTCTAACCACAATTCCTTTAATTACAGGTTGTACCGGACAGAATTCAAGAAAGTCTATGGCGAGCTGTCCGGAGAGAAAATGCTGGACGGCCTTCGCTGCCTCGGAGAGCAGTACGACGGAACATCGGGCGGTCGTGCTGCTCTGGAGGTGGACGACCACAACGTGGTGGTGGCTATCGTCACGCCGCTGATGCGCCGAGTCTCGCAGCTGTGGCCTCGAGCCGCAGTAATGTGGTTCGTCGACTCGTCCGGCAACATGGACCGTAGCGACAGTCGCCTCTTTCTCCTCCTGACTCACAGCCCGGTCGGCGCTCTCCCCGTGGGGGCCATCGTCACGTCATCAGAGTCGACCAGCGTCCTAACGGCAGGGCTCCAGCTGCTGTTGACCCTGATGGATGAGCAGAGCTTCGGAGGTCGAGGAGCACGTGGCCCGGTGGTGGCCATGACGGACGACTGCGCTGCCCTCAGAGCCGCACTGAGGAATGTTTTCCCCGAGTGTCGGCTACTGCTCTGCTCATTTCACATCACCTCCAGGCTGCCTGGCGGTGGCTGTGTGGGAAGCAGAGCGGTGTCGCCGCTGACCAGCGACAGGAGGCGTTGCAACGTGTCCGTGCCCTCCTCCGAGCCACCACTGAGCACGACCTCAGCCAGCGTTGGGACTTGGGAGGAGCTGCTCGCCTTCACACGGAGGAAGAAGCTCGGACACTTCGAAAAGTACATGGAAGAGCGCTGGATCCGTCGTTACGAGTGGGCCATGTGTTTCCGCTCGGACCTGATGGTCAGAGGGAACCACACCAACAATCTGACGGAGGCGGCCTTCCGCGTGATCAAGGACAAGATCCTGAGGTGGCTCAAGGTCTACAACACCACCCAGCTGGTCGACATCGTGATGATCCGACTCGAAAATGAGTATTCGCGCAAAATCCCGGACGCTGCAAACGGGAGAACGCCGGCCTCGGCACGCAAGCGCTTCTGCCCGTCGGCAGATGGCATCGACAAGGCGTTTGTGGAGCAGGTAATTAATGGTCTATCAAATGTTAAGCATGAGATGCTTTTATTTTAGGACTGATTGTATTGGCTTTTTATTGGTCGTTTTTTTAATAAAACTACCACATTCATTTATTGGGTGGGGTTTTGTAACCACATGCTAAATGATTCCTGTGGTTGGGCTGCAGCCTAGTATTCGGTTAATTTCCTTGGAACAATGACGGATGCTTAGAAAATATACATTACGGCATCGATTTTCTCATATTCGTCTCGTTTTTCACTCTTACAGGTGGGACCGTCCACGTACCAGGTGTCCAGCTTCACCAAGTCCGGTGTCTCGTACACCGTTGACACGGATCTGGAGCTGTGCACGTGTCGTGTGGGAGCCACTGGAGCGCCGTGCAAGCACCAGGCAGCTGTTCTGCAAAAGGAGCCTGCCATGGCTGATGCGGCACTAAACTTCCTGCCCACCCTCAGCGAGAAACAGCGTCACCTGTACTTCCAAATCGCCACCGGTAGGTTTGAGATCAGCGCGGAAATATCAGTTGCGATGATCAAAGGCAAGGTAAATACGCTGGATTTAAATACAAGCGATTTTTGACGCCAGGGTGTCCACGTCAAAAGTGTACCTAGACTTTTCTCCATATTTTGTCTTAACCCGCGCCCCGTAGGGCTACCGGCGGACCCTACCACCCGTAGGGGGGGGGGGGGGGCGGGCGTTTCGGCCCCCCTAAGATCTCGGGAATTTACCGGCCGATTTTCAAAATTCAAACGGCGTTCGATAGCCCCACCCAGGAACTACCTTGTGACCAAATTTCATTGACCTAGGTCAAACCGATGACGTCACAGGTCAGGTCAAAGGTCGGATTTTCACCGTTCACAGGCATTTCAAGAAATGTGTTGTTAAATCGAGTAAATTGGTAAGTTATTGAAAACCATAGATAGTACATTGTTCGTCAGACACATGCTTCTTAGCCCCCCTAGCGGGGCGCGGGTTAAGGTACACTGAATACTTGAGATACCTGTGACCTTTGGTAATGGAGATATAACCTCGTTCTCGAGGCCATGTTCTGGCCCAAATGATCTTTTTGTACTATCTTGCGCGGTGGTGGTGTTTGGACCGCTCGTGTAGTGTGTTTTCATGGTCATGGTCCTCCTGTTGACAGGTCTTACAGCACCCGGCGGGTTTTTGGCCTCAATGAGGCAAGATCCGTGGGAATCGAGCAGCACGAGCCAGCCAAGCACTACCCGAAGTGACGCATCTGGTGATCAGCAACCTGACCCGGCGAGTGAGGAGAAGGCGGGCACCAACCTGGGCGACGGGACAGCTGACCTGATCGCTCGGTGCCAGGCTCTGTGTGAGTCATGGCAAGCTGACCTCATGCGTGCACCAGAGCTGTACGGCCCCGCACTGGGCACGACCACGTTCATTAGCCGCTACGAGTGCATGAAAACGGACAATTCGCGGGCATCAAGTTTGCACCAGTTTGGCACTGGTTGCAGCGCTGTCCCTGCAAGCTCCTTTAAAAGCTCCGTGATGATAGGCGTCCAGCCGACAGCATGGCTCGCAGGAAGGTCCCAGTTGGTGGCAAGCGGCGTGCTTCCACTGGGAAACCAAAAAAAAAAAAAAAAAAGACGCCGCCGCTGGCGACCACGGTGCCTACGCCGTGCCAACGAAGGTCGGGAAGCAATCACTCTGTTCTCAGGTGGTGCCCCCAGCGCGAGCCCCACACAACCTGGCGGAGTGTGTGGCTCGAAACGTGTCTGTGGGTCGAACCCACAGTGCCTAATGTGTTCAGGATGGCAGATGGGATGTAATCCTCAATGCGGATCGACGGTGAAAGCTTTAAACGCGTCGATGATAACGGTCTGGCGGAATGCGAGCAGTGGTTGCCTGATGGTACTCGCATGTGTAAATACATGTTCCAGTGGTTCTGGTGCTGCTGAGACAGCGTATGAATGTCAGGAAGGCGATCCGACTGGCGCGGCGGTCAAAAGCTAATTGTTGGCGTGCGACACCCATGTTCGTTAAATGTTTCAGCGTGATTGTTTTTTAACTTAATTAAGCTATAGCCACGAACTACAAAGCTGTTTTCTTACTCCAAATCTCTTATCTTCAAAGTGGAATATTTACTCCAACATGTCTGGGTGAAGAAGAGACGCGGTCCCCCCCCCCCCCCCCGGTGGGAAGTAGCGAAGGGCATCTGTTTTCCAAACGTGTGTTTTATGCAGACCGTTGGAGTCCGAAAGGCAGGCTCCGCTGCGTCTATCAAGTTCGCAAAAGATATGATTAAAAAAAAGCATGGAAGGTAAAGTCAAATATCTCGGGAGAAATGTTTCCGCTGTTACAACATCCTAAATACGCATCAAACAATACGCTTCATACTTATCTCAATCAAAGAATATGGTTCCGTTCACCCACTATTACGCCGGTTAGAATACACGGTTATGTGGCCTTGGAATACACGTCATTGCGCCACCGTGTATTCATAGTCACCGTGCATTGCGCATCCTCATTACACAGCGGAATCAACTCAACGGCATTTGATATGAAATCTCCGGAATCGAAAGCGCTCTCCGGCATCCCTGTGTGACGTCTTCTCGGTCTGACGTCACGGGCCGGAGCGGGTAGCCAATTAGAGCCGCCCTGTGTATTGCTCCGGCTGGGAAAAAAAATGACGCACGCGGGAGGCATGCCGTCAGCTGTCCTTTTTTAAACAATCGGTTTCTTTGAAATAATTTCTTTTGGTTTTTTATGTCTATCATAAATATAGTACATCAAAAATTAAGTTTTATTTTTTGTGAGGTAGAAAATATTTTTCTGTCCAAACCATTCCCGTTTAATTAAAGAAAATAGAAAAGGGGAGAGTTTACCCAGGACCCTATGGAGGTTGTTTACATGAGTTTACCCAGGGCCCTATGGGAGGCTTCTATGGGGCGAATTCCATGCAATAATGGCGCAGCAGCGACATTACATCGCCATTTATCGTTTGAAATTATCAATGTAAGATGACCGTGGTCATCAAGTAGATATCAATATATGACCGTGCGGTATACGTGGTTTATTAGCTTTGCGGACAGTATTGAGTATTTTATTTCCGTGATTGCGGGTGGCACTTAGCTCAGCAGTCATGAGTAAATTATGGCAAAAATATCAGAAGTGCTGCGTGCCTGGATGCAGTAAAACCAAGATGAGTGACCCAGATGCATCATTCTTCGCCTTTCCAAAAGATCCATGCAGGTAAGGTTCCAGTTAAATTTTAATGAAAGTTACGGTCCAAACTCCATAGACAAGCGGACATCCAGATTTAAAAGAGTTAGGCGACGAAATACTCAACTTAATTATTAAGTAATGGGCACCATAAGGTAGGCCATACAATTTTCTATAGTACCGCATTGTCGCTGCAGTCAAAGGTGTTCTGGTTTTTATGCTATATGCCAAAGAATTTTTGCATGTAATCACCGGTGACACGACATATTTCTGCTTTATTGGGTTGGGCGGTGAAGTCTATGACGTCATCACAATGAAAATGGCTTAGTTTTGTAGAGCATTGAATTTTGATCCCGTCACGACTCTCGCTAGTCCATTTTTTATCATAAATAAACCATTAATTGCGGTACAAAGTCAAAACTAAGCCCGAATCGGCGCCCGCAGCGGCCGTTAGCACAGTCCCCTATGGTAAACAGGTTAGTTCACATTCCCGCCGCTATGCGAGCGGCGGCGGCGCCACCTGTCCTCATGTCCGCCTTGGACCGTAACGAGGTAATTAGTTTAGTTTTTGCTTTGACAAGTAGTTTAGGAAATATGATTATCATAGGTCGCGTGAACCGCCCACTGCCCATTGTCCTCTATTTTGTCTGACATCCGATATCCAATCACCATTCTTAAATACTTCACCTCACCATATGGACACCAGCTTTTAGGACTAGGAGGCCACTATATGCCTGTGGGGCCCAGTCTCAGTGAGCTCTCGCCAGTCGCCTCCCAGTGCATAGGACAGTCAGCCTCATATTGATATGTTGGGTAAGCAGTAGGTAGACCATAGATCATGAATGATGTCAGCCCAATAGGCTATAGGCATCAAGTTTTGCCCTAAATTGGTCGACAGCCACACTGCAAAGCATGGCTCACATGTCGACAAGGTGCACCAGCCCAAGTTCAATAATAAACCTGGACTCTTTTCAGGCGCAAACTATGGATGAACTTCTGCGGTGACATGGGAGTTCTTACTGGAGAACCGAAGATGTGCTGTGCTCATTTCAAAAACAAAGAGCTGATCACAACAAGTAAATATTTGAGGCTTCGGCCAAATGCTGTGCCTTCCCTGCTGCAAGAGGAGCTTGATGTCGACATGGCAGCAAGGTAAGTGTTAAAGTAAATAGCTCACCTTCTGTGAATGATTTTATGAATAAACTTAAAAAGATTTGTGTTTAAAGTTTTGTGTTAGGTAGGTACCTACTCACTGAGACACAAAACACTAAGCACAAATGGGTGCATCAATTGCACCGCCACAATCTGCAGAGGAGATCAATTCCAGTGTTTTTAATATCAAGAAGTAGCACCAGTGACAATACAGCATAGCTCGGAAGTCTGATGTCGTGGTACTAGATGTTGCTAGGTGATGGCACATGTGAAGTAGTTAATTCACCTTGTTAAGGCACCAGTGTGGGATTCCTCTACCTCCCACCCTTTCAGTAAACATTAGGGAAGGAGGAGCATGAAAACAAAGGACATACCAGCTCATCCAATATAATAACTAACATGCAGGTAGCATGTATCAAAGATACAAGCAGTCGCCCCTGACTAACTCTTAAACTTTATCAATAATTGAAGTTTTTGCTTTCATATTAAAGATCCCTTACCCTTTATAAGTACTCACACACCGACTCAGCCATTCTTGCTATTCACTTTCCCCAGAGTGTCGCAGTGGCGGCGGAAGGTAATTTTGGATGGGGGTGCAAAGTTTTCTCAAGGGGCCCCTCTGGAAGTTTTGGGCCCCCTTCATATTTTTTTTTTGAGTGATTATTATTGATTTATGAAAAACGAAGATTTTGGAAAACTATGCCCATACACACAAGTTCTGTAAAAGGTTTGAAATTGCAGTGTACATACCTATCTCAAATAATGAAAGCATAAAGAAGCAAATGCAGGCAGCTAGTTTTTTATCGGCTAATCTTTTAGTCTAGCCACCACCCGCAGCGTCTCAAACCACTTTTCTGGATCCGCAGTGGACCATTGAGGGCCCTACGAGACCGTTCCAAGAAGACCGTGTTTAGAAGCCCCTTGGAAACCGACCACATAGAGACTCCTCCAGAGACCTACATGACTCCCCAGTCCCCAGACTGAATGAGCCCTCCGATCAGGGTCGGTCCCTTGAAAGTTGCTGAAAGGTTTCGGAAGGCAGTATAGGCTCGAAAGTCTTTTGAGGCCTCTCAGAAACCGGCATCGGACCCCAAAAAAGCCTGTATGGAGACCCTCCAAAGCCGGGATGAAGGCCACAGGAGCCAATGTTTAGCCTAAGGAGCCGGTATGGAGGACTGAATAGAGGAAAGGGGTCTCAGTGGGGCCTTCAGGGGCAAGCGTTTGAGCCCCAAAAGTATGTGCGGGATCTTAGAGGCAGGTAGACCCCTGGGATATGCACGGGGTCCCAGGAGCTCGCGTGTGAGCCCAAATATTCAGCTGGCGGCTACTAGAACCAGCATGGGGATTCTTAGGACTTAGAAGCCGCTTAGTCCCACATTTCATGGGTCATGAGTCCCAAGAGTCTATGTAGGGGCCATAAAAGCCGATGTAGAGCCCATGGCCCCATAAGTTCCGACATTGAGACTCAGAGGCCAGCGACGGGGCACCAAGAGCAGATAAAGTGCCGCAACAAGCCGGCATGGGGCCAAAGAATCAGTGTGGAATTCCAGGAGCCTGCGTGAGCTCTCGGAGACCTTCGTATTTCGTAAGGTCCACAAAGGTCGTTGGGTCCTCTGAAGCTGAACTCTGCGGGCCCTCAGAGGCCAGCATGTCTCCTGGCACCTGCCTGCGCTGAGGTGAGACCCTCCGAGGCCGTCGTAGGGTTCTTCAGAGGCCAGCGTTGGCCCTTGAAGCCTTCGTTAGGCCCTAGAAGCCGTCAAGAGGGCCCTCAGAGGTCAGCATGGCCCCTGGAGCCTGCCTGTGTCGAGGCCCTCAGAGGCCGTCGTGGAACCCTCAGACGCCAGCGTGGGCCTTTGGAGCTTGCGTTGGGTCTTAGAGACCATTGTGAGGGCCCAGAGAGGTCGTCGTCAGGGCCTTCAGCCCCTCAGGGACCATCCTTGGGTCCTCAGAAGTTGTTGTGAGGGCCCTTCGAGAGGATCATCAGAGGTCGTCATGAGGGTCCTTGGCAATAGTGAGGGTCTTCATGGGCCCCCATATACCTTTGCAGGGCTCTCAGAGGCCTTGGTAAGACCACTAGAGGCCATCGTTAGGGCCCTCAATAGACCGTTGCAGGGCCCTCAGATGCCAGCATAGCCCCTGCAGCCTGGTTGTGTTGGGGCCCTCAGAGGCCATCGCTGGGCCGTCTGAAGCCAAATGGGCCCTCAGACTTGAGTTGGGTCTAGGGCCGTCACGAGGGCCCTCAGAGGCCAGCGGGGCCCCTGGAGTCCTGTGGGACCCTCAGCGGTTGTCATGAGGGCCCTTAGTGGTCGTTATAGGGCCCCAGGGGACAGAGGTCGTCGTGAGAGCCCTCAGAGATCGTAAGGGCCCTCAGAGGCCGTCATAGGGCCCTCAGAGGCCAGTGTGGCCTCAGGAGTCTCCTTGAGGCCCTAGAGTCTCTGTGGGACCCTCAGCGGTCGTCATGAGGGCCCTTAGTGGCCGTTGTAGGGCCCCAGGGGACAGAGGTCGTCGTGGGAGCCCTCAGAGATCGTCATAAAAGGGCCCTCTGAGGCCGTCGTGGGGGCCCTCAGATGCCGCATGGAGCACCAAACGCGGCTCGGAACACTTCTAGTCGGTGTGGGGGCCCCAAAGACTAGCATTGGGCGCTCCTGACCATAACTGGACATCCCGGATGATTCCACATCAG